AGAGCAGCACGTCACACTCATTTTCAGATCAGTAACCCTTCAAGTATATTTGCAAAATATATTTGCAAAGTATATTTGCAAAATACTTTGAGATTCAGCACTTTAAAACAGCCTGAATCACATTAATTATTTCAGTTCTGCTAGCTGAAAAAAACCCCAAACCCTTACTTTATGAATCATTTTCCTCTTAGTTAATTTAGAGCTTTAACTCATTGGAACACAGGGGACTTTTCTATAGATGAAATAGGACACAGGCTGTTCTGTAAATTGCTACCAGGTGCATGTTACTAACCTGGGGAAATGCTCACAATTAGTCTGCCGTGGTTGACTTTACATGAAAAAAACAAAAAAAAAAGTTCAGTATAAAATATCCAGAGTTGATTTGACACAGGGGCAAATTCTGCCACCTTCATTCCACTTGAGAAGAAACCCAAGCTGCAACTAAACTAATTAAAATCACAGAATTAGCCACTAATACTATGAGACGGAATTGCACTGACAGTTTTTCATGTCATAAAGTGCATCACATATGGTCAGTCTTGTCCTGCACGAAGCACATGCCCGGCTGTGTAGGCATGGAAACTCAAAGTGCTGGTGCATGGGTCTCAAGCATCAAATTACTAATGCTCCCAGAGGAGAACTATGGAGCACCTGGGTCTCCTGTTCACCTAAATGGGAGCTGCTACTTTCTCTGCCTCTAAAGAACTTCTCTCCATGAGAGAAAATCTTTTCTCCAAAAGATTTCTCCATCTTCTGACCTCCAAGCACATGTAAGATTTAGAGCAGAAAAAGACTCATCCCTACTTTCGGCTGTCATCCTAAACTCAAGAAGACACTTGCTTTCCTTTTTTCCTCTGATACTGCATCATGTGCCCTTCCCAGATCAAACATTTGGAAATAATTTATGAAGCAGACCTTTAATAAGGTCTGGCTTGCCTAATAACAATAAATCCAATAAACAACAGGTTGCTCTGGTATTATATGCAGAATATGCTGAGAATTAACATGCAACACATAAAGGCAAATGACTTAATTGAATACACATGGGATCAGGACCGTAAGTGTGGCTGAAACATGAACTATTACATTTATATTCATTCTGGCTTGACTATCAAAACTGAATTCACTCAGCAACAGCCCCCACCAGGAGTCCAGTGGTCGATACCAATTTTTATCGCTATGCAACTTGAGCAATATTTTTGATCAATTCCTACAATCAACATCTGAACGCGGTGGGTCATTATTTTTCTGCTGAAAAAAAACCTACTTCTTTAAATCTTGTTAATCAATATGCCCAGTTTAAGTTACTGTGCAACTTACACAGCCAGCTGTGCAAACAGCAGGAGCTGGAAAGCAGCTTCCAGAGCCCCTTGGCTTGCATTGCCAATTATGTGAAACTCCTTGTCAGGTGCAAATTCAGGTTAATTGCAGCAGGGACAATTATTAGGCGCTCTCTGGTTGCTGATGCCTCTTTGCATTAGCCTGGGGACTCCAAACCCCCAGTCCTTCCTGAGATTCTTCGCTGAAAACACCTCCCTGTGTAGAGCAGTGGCAGTTAAATTGTTTACTCCTGCCTGAGATGGTGGAAAATCACTGATGTACCTTCTCAGGGTCACCTCGCTTGCTGGGAAAGTTTTGATAATTAGAGACAAGACTGTTTGCCCTTCTCCATTATCCTGGAGACTGCAGATGAGTTATGTTAAAATGATCGTGCCTTCTTTCCTCCAGTGTATATCAGCACCTCATCACACCAGCTCTGCACAGGTGCACCCTCTGCTACAGCAGCAGCCAGCACCTGCAAAAGGTGGGAGCCTGGTCTGAAGAAATGGAGGCAACTAATGAGGGAAACATAATGGGGCACCTGGCTATCTCCATTAATGAGTCCTATAAACTCCAGATCTACAATTGGAGCCATTCTCTTACTGTACATGTTTCTGTAATGCTGGTTACTGCAGTGTCTGGGCATTTAATTATGCACAAATGAGAACAAAACCAAACCAGGGGAGAACAAAATGTCACAGTGCTGCAAGTTGCCCTGTCAATCACTAGGCTTCATCTGCTCTCAAGCCCAAGAAACACCAAAGGTGGGGCCACTGAGTCAGGAAAAGTGCTGCTGAACAAAAGGATGGCTGTCTCCATGGTGGAGCCTGAGGAAAGCACCTGGTTGGCATGCCAAGTCTCCTGAGGACACCCTTTCAGCAGGCAGGGAGACAGTGGATGTGCCAACTCACTGCGGCTGCGAGGGAAGGGAACATGATAAGGGAAGATCAAGAAGGGGAAAAGCAGCCACATCATGAAGTGATTCATGCTGGGACCTGAGGGAGGATGAAGCCCTGCACTTTGGACAGAAGCATGAATGTAAGAGATGGAAGACGATGGTTCTTAACCTGTTTTGATGTCCCTACCTGATTCACTTGTCTAGGATATTCCACATGTAAAAATACACCAAGCAATCCATCTGCAGGTGAGCATGGTTTTAAAAAAGAAAAAAAGACAACTCTTCCCTCTTTCTTTAAGCAAGGCAAATAACACACTCCTATATTAAATCACACTACACTGTTATTTCCTGTGCAAGGAGCATAGGCTGGCAGACAGCATGTCCTGCACGTTCCTGCTTTCATAGAGGAAATTAATGAGGACAAGTTTCCAAAGGATACTTACCACATTTCCACTCTAGGTTACTTCTGGGGCATGGAAAGGACGGACAGACTGATAGTACAGTCCTGCAAGTTGACTTTCCCTAGGAAAACCAATGTGATGGCAGATGCTTGGAGCATTCAAAGCAGGTACTGAGGTTTTCACATTAGACAGAGGTTTTTAAACCTGCTCTCCGCCTTAGGCAGATTCACGTTCCTTGTGCTTGAACTTCTCAAAGCAGAACAGATCAATAAAAATTATGTTCTTCACTGTCTGATCTGCAGTCGCTATTTCAGCTGCCACAGCTGCCACTATAAAAGCCTTTGCAACTACATCTGGGAGAGATTTTCTTCCACAAGTGAATTTTTAGGATACGACATCCCATAATTACTCAGTTCACTATTCTTCTAAATAATCTGCCAGAGCATAAAAAGACTCTTCAGTGTGTTCTACGACTAGAGGTAGCAGTTTATCTTGCTTTAAGTTACATTTGCACATTCTGCCAATCCCTGTAGTACAGGACGAACACAGCTCTGAGTCACAGGATCGCACCTCAGCAGAGAGAATCAAAGGCAATTTGGGTAATCAAAGGTAATTCACTTTAACTAGATAACGTTAAAAGTCTCTCTAGCCAAATGGGGATTAACATGGATACCAGATTTACTACATCTAAAAGGTAGAAAAAAAAAGTTCTTACTGTCATTCCAAACGTAAAATATTCATTAATAAATGCAATGAAGTTTTGCATGCAATCTATTTAGTGATGGCTCCTAGTTCAGTAAATTACATATTTATTGTTTTCACCATAAAAACCATTTATTTATTTTAAAGCTGCTACTTACTCTTAAAGCTTTTGTTTTTAAATAACTGTAAGCAAATATATCATCACTGAGATTAATAATAAAATTGAAATGGCCCAGTGAGCTGAAATACAAGGAATATTTGTTGATTTAGGAGCTTTCATCATAAGGATTTCACATCTGAATATGGAAGCAGATTCATTCTGACATTAAATCTCTCTTCTTTCAAAACCTAAGTGTATACTAGAATACAGAAAGGTGCAGCAGGTATTTGAAAAGAGTATGGATATGTGTTTTCCCAAGTTCATACTCTCCAGCTGGGAGGATCTGAGTGATGCCCTGGGGAAGCCGTTCCCATACAGCCTCATCCACACACCTGCACACTGCCCAATCCCACCCCAGTCCCAGACACACATACACAGGCTTTTAAGGAAATGTCAGGAGTCTCTTTCAGCTACATGCTTGTCCTAATTCCTCCTCTCCTTACTCTTGCTGCCGGTTGGGAAGGAGCTGAAGTCTGACTCATGACCAGTGTTGGCTCTCTCTGCCCTCTTTCCACATACCAGTGCAACTCCCAAGTACAACCTTTTATCTCCAAGTAATCATTCCCCAGGAGATATAAGAGAGACTTACAGAGCCCTCTGAAGCCACCCTTACAGGAAGAAGCAGTACAGAGCTTCAGTGGGCTGCGAGGGACCCCCTCGGACCAGGAACCAGGAACCAGGAACCAAATGGATTTGGCCACAGGGAGTCACAGCTCCAGTTTAAGAGAAGGCAAATATTCAACAGGATATGAGTTCTACAATAAATGGGTTGATTTTAACCAGGCAAGACGGGTTCTGGATGGTTTTCCTCTACATGGTTCTGCCTCTGAGGAGGATTGCTGCCTCAACACCCCTGCTGACCACTCAATCCCACCATCTGCTAAGCCATCCCAATCCCATACAAGATAGCAAAGAGTCTGCATTAGTCTCTCTCCCACCTGCTGCTGGCAAACCAGGCAACACAGTGGGGTGACAGGGTGGTTAACCTGGAGCTCCCCCATCACTCAGACTTGTCATGACTGTGGCTTGACACATGGTGTGACCCTATCTCTTTGCAAGGTCAGATCAGACCATTTATTTTCTGTACAGCCAATTCACTACAAGTGACAATTTTGCTTCTTTATAGAGACTGTTGCAGGTGTTATTCTGGGCTGGAATGAAAATCCCAGCATGAAGGTTAATGTGGAAATCCTCCTGAGAGAGTAATATTAAGCAATGTGCATTTCCTCCAACAGGCTATTTAAAAGATGTCGAGCACACAGATGCCATTCTCTTCTGCTCAGAGACACTGCAACTGTGACCACTGAGCCATACTGGGCAGAAAGAGCATTCCCAATGGCATAAAAGATTAAGGGTTTGCTTCTAGAGTAGGATCTCTGGAGACACAGTATCTCCATCTTATGACAACCACCAGCCTCCTGTAGTCCCAGCTGATGTCAAGCAAGACTAGTTAATATTCAAAACTAAGCAAAAGGAAAATACACACAAACCAGAAGCATTTCAACAGAGATCACTGTACCTAAAATAGCCACCACCTCGTCGTCCTGGATGACTTCCAAGGATCCTGAGACCACAAAGCAAAGAGCATCGACGCTTTCCCCAGCGTGATAGATGAGGTCCCCCGGGGCGCAGTGGATGGTCTGGAACTCCACGGCCAGGGCCCGCAGGCAGCCGTCGCTGGCCAGCCGGAAGGCAGGGTGCTCGTTAAAAACCTTCCGGTTCAGGTGCACGCAAATATCTGCCCTCATGTCCTTCGGGCAAATCGAGAGGACCTGAGCAAGAGAAAGAGGGAAAACAGTCAGCTGGGAAAGTGACACCAGGCTTTATGAAATAACCCAATGGATGGATCTGAAGGTCCGCCTGAGGGGGATCTTGAAATCCATTCATCCCATAATTTCATAAAGCTTCTGGTGGGAGCTTTATCCTGATTGGGGGTAATCTTTTTCTATCCATCTACTGTTTTCATCGCAGCTGAAAGGGTGATTTGGAAGACAGGACTATTCTGTTACACTGTGCTCATTCCTAACAGCTTTCACACTTGTTTTCCAGAATTGCAGGTGGCGCTACTATGTTCTGTTTGTGGTCATCCCTCCAGACTTGGTGCCCAGACTATCCTCCTGCTGCCATGCTCAGTCCTTGCAGGAGCACAGAGCTGAAGGACCTTGAAGACATGCAGAGACAGACCACTCACAATAGAAAACATCACATTTTGTTCACAGCCAAAAAACCCAGGTCTCAAAAGTCTTGATGTAGGTGACCACTTACCGACACATATCCAGACACACCCAGGGTTCAGTTTCAGTGAAAGACATAAGGAATAACCTGCCCAGGAGGGCTTACAGACTAGAAAATCCACGGAGATTAGAAGAAAAAGGAAGTATAATGAAACCTTATGAAATGTAAAGTAAAGGTGAGTGAAAAGCTGTCCTGTGAACATCAAGACATCTCCATAGCAGACCAATTAAATAAGACCTTCGACTACTTTCTTACCTTAAATAGCTTTCCCTACTGAAACAGCAACACAAGTACACCTGAAGAAAAAAAGTGAAAACTTGTGGGTCTTGTTAGGTTTGTAAACTGTGTGTTTAATATTTGCACATCCTCCTGAAGACACTAACATCCCTATAATCCTCAGATGCCTGGTATCTAATTGCACTGAGAAACATACAAAACCTTTCAGTGTTTTTCTAGGACAAATCATCAGAAAAGTGTATGAGACTAAGAGCACTCTGGAAGTCTCATATAAAGAAGACTGCAGATCGATAGTACTGATTAATTTCTCATTGTAGGGAATTAATCTGGCAGCTTGCTCTGCAGATAGTGAGGGAGACAGGGACATTGGGTCAATGAGTTGACCACTGAATATTAGCAGAGAGAGACTCTGGTAACCCCGACTGAGCTCTGAGGCAAATGGTCATGTTAATAATGAAGTAAAGCCACGATTTTAATTTCTATTCAATGAAGAAGAGGTATAAAACTTACTATTGCAAAGCATTACTAAAGGTCCTAAAACACAGTATGTGAAAAGGATAAACGGCTTCTATTTCAATAATAATATTTAGTCCTCTCCTTATTTAAATATATCAAAGTTCCTTTGCAGTCAAAGACAATGAACGCAAAAAGGTGTAATACAAGTTATTCTCCTATTCTCTGTACTGTAACAGTCTGAGGTGAGAAGAGGCTACTGCAACCATCTACACTAACCTCTTGCATTAACAATTTTCACATCAATCCCAGAATACCTGGTAAAATTATAGCCTAGAAGGCCTTGATTTAATTTATAGGGTAGTTGTTCCAGGGGATAGCTACTCTTTCTTTCAAAACATGTTGCTTCTGAAGTGATTTCTTTTTTAGTTTTCAGCCAACAGCCAGAGAATCTTCTCATCTTGTTCAGATAAAAGACCTGCAATCATCGGGAATCTCTCCCACATGCAGGTGTTTATAGGAAATGATCAGGTCATTTCTCAATCTCATCCTAAGAAAAACAAGAGAGATAGATGATGCTTTTTGTGCCTAACACTATGAAGCACAGTATCTCTTCAGAAACTTCCCTCTGCATGAGGCTTTCTCACTTACAACCACCTTCCCAGAGCTAGAAGATAATTATTTTTTTATTTGATTTAACACAGAGTAAGTCAATTTGGGTTAATGATATTTTTCTGTAACAAAATGCTGTACAGAACACATTAAAATACCCTCCATAAGTGTGTTTTATCATAAAAATTAATAATAAACACATTTGACAAGACATATTCTCCATAAACCATCATTTGCATTAGTAGTAATGTCTTGTCTGAGTCACTGTTGACCACATTCTGTAGCACATTTCCATAATTTTATTAGGGACAGATGTCAATTTCACAAACTTCTATTTTCCTGAGTCATTCCATTTACCATGAGAAATATGGGCTCACCTTAGTTTTTCAATAAAAAACAAAGATTACTTTGGAAAGTGATTGCTTCATCTCGGCCCTACTTCTGGATCAAACAGAAAGTTTGTCTATATTATAATAAAACAGAAACATGACATCTTTCTTCACCTCAATAGTAACTTAATGAAAAATTCTGCTTTCTTTTGTACCATGATTGATGATTTTTAACATTTTTATCTACTCTTGCACCTAAATGATGGTTATAAGTTTTTTACGTCCCTTTAATACTTTCAGAAATGTAAATGGTTTTAACTTAACAAGGTCATGCCAGGAATTCTCAAACACTGCTCTTAAGAAAAATGTCTGTGTTCATACGTGACTGATTACTGAATTTTATCTTTTAAGCTTCCAAACTGCAGGAGAAATTGGTTAAACTATTGCAGAAGTTGTTCCTGTAAGATTCTGAGATGTTCCAGGCCCCTTTGTCTTTTGGAATGCAAAGTAATTGAGTCCCTCAAGAATAAAAGCCACTTGGCTGCAAAGCAGCATACTATCTCCTCACAGATACAGACTTATATACAGACTATTAAAAGTGAGCACTCGAAGAATTGCTCTTTTTATAGACACACAACAAACATATGTATCATCACACACCCTAATATGAAGAGATGGATAAAATTCCATTGCACAGAAAAAGCCCACCTCAAAAAGCATAATTCAGAATTTTTCTGGTATCTTCATAAAGTGATTCTCCTAATGGCGTATCATTGTACGTAGACACATGAAGATAGCACTTATCAACTAGTACAGCACTAAGTGAGTAATGATCCAAGACTTAGCCAGGAACAAATACAGTTGAGTTGTATTGTTTGAGTTGTAACTCAAACAATTTGAGTTTTCTTGCCTGCTACACAGGTATTGAGAACAGAGAGTGAAGCAGATGAAAACTAAAAAAAAATACTTAATATTTAAAGATATAGCAAGGTATTGTTGACTACCAGAGATAAATGTAGATATATGTAGGGAAAAAAAAGAGAGCAAAGATAGAGAACTGCAACATTCAGCTACATGTTTACTGTATGCTCCAAGGGCTCCATGAGCTCCAACCTGTCTCGGCAGCACTTCTTTTTGTGTTCACAAATACCAATGTCATGAATGCAGAAGGAGTCTCACAGATGCCACCAACTTCTCTATTCCTTATACTATACAAAGGGGCTGTTGGTGACACAGATCACAGTAAGCAGTAATTTTCATGCTTCCAAAGAGAACACATAATGAGATACAGGATCACACAGAGGCATTTGGAAGCTAATGATAAATAGCCCAAAGACCCTAAGATCAGAAAATGAGCACTTCGAATTCAGACAAATAATCATCTGAAAATGATCCCTTATTGACAAGAATTGGACATTATTACTGTGAAATGGTCTTACTAAGATCTCAGCATTTTTAAGGCAGCATGCAACTAAAAAGATACAAAACAGCAGCAACATGATTGTCCCTGAGTCCATATGGTGTCAAAATGCACACGTATGGGTGTAAAAAAGAAATTTAGTTGAAGGGAAAGGATACCCTATAATGCTCAGTCTTTTTTTTCACTGTAAAGGAAATGCCTCAAACACATCATGTTAATAGAACCAAAGTTCAGCTGGGACATTTGTTCTACCCTGTGTGTTCTTTCAGCAGCGCAGCAAAAACCACCAAGACAAATTTCTTAAGAGGAAATTTCCTTAGAGATTTGAAGACCTTTCTCAGTGAAACCTGCAGTTTATAAGGCAGGCAGGATATTAAGGTCACTGACAGCAATGCTTTAGTAACTGATGGGTTTGGAGCTCACGACTTGGAGCGGGAAGTCTGCAGGGACCAGATGCTTGTGCTGCTACAGAAGCTGCTCTGTAATAAATCTGCAGCCACAGACTTTGCAGTCATCTTTCCCATATGCATCCAAGCAGCGTGAAAGAACAGAGCCTGCTATGTATCAGTGCAAAATCGGAGGAGAAGTCTGAATTCTACCCAGAGGAAAATCTTTGCTGGCTGTATAAACTGTGATTCCACCAGAAAAGGAGCAAGGCTCCGTGTCACACATGAACAGCACACGTATCCACAAAGACATGAACTACTACAAAGCTGAGAGAGGAGAAAGTAAAGCACAGAATAACATTTATGATTTTCCCTCTCTGCACAGAAAGCAAAACCTCCTCAAAGCCAGTATAAGACAATTGCTGAGCTCTGCCATCACCAGCTGGCACCCAGGTGGCACAGGCCCCAACATGACACCCAATGCAGAGATTCAACACCATCATCATCTCTAGAGCACCCCATGGTATATGTAAAATGCTGATGGTGAGTGAACAGCTTGTGGGTGCTGTAAGAGACTGGGACAGCAACCAGCTCTGGAAGACCCACAGGGTCTCACTGTCTTTTCAGTTCGAGATCTGTAAGGGGGTGGGAATTAAAATTCCCAAGGAGGAGGTTTCATCTGATTTTTTAACTCCCTCATCCGTTTCCTCAGCATGGTCAGGCAGTTTAAGATAAGCCCCTAGAACAGCTCAAAGAACTCTACAGGGAGCAGAGATTATAAGAAAAATTCAAAGAAAAGCAAATGAATGAAAAAAAAAACCTGTACGGATTAAGAGCATGTCCAAACAATATCTTTTAGGATGGGTTTACAGGTTTAAGCATTTGTTAAAAAACCTTCCCCAGTTGGATAACACTACAGGATGGCTCAGCAGATATTATAGAATCTGTTAAGACTTATTAACAAAAAGGGCAGAGGCCAGTGAATCACGAACATTATCTATTGTCAATCCTCTTTCAGCACACAGGATTGTCACTTTCTGGGGGCTGTAGGTAGGGAACATGCTGGTTGATACTCAAGCAAAGAGCTTAGACAGTCTTTG